GAACTGCCATTTCTTCGAATAACTTCAAAAATACGATCGGGCATTGACGAAATCAAACTCTGAAGTATGCCTTCTTGAATAGATGTTCATGGTTCGTTCACCGCTTTCCATAATTCATTAACAGTACTATATTACTTACAATTGCCATAAACTTTCCTCGCGAGTATCCCCCAAAGATTTTCTATTGGGTTTAAATCTGGGGAACAAGCTGGCCATGTCAAAATCCTGATATTTTTTTCAGCTAACCACTGCTTCGTGTAATTTGATGTATGGATGGCAGCGTTATCGTGTTGATAAATGAAGTTGTCGCGTCAAATATCTTCAATAAATAGTATTAAAATTGTGTCTAATAATTCTGTATATTTTTCAGAACTCATTTTAGGAGTAATGCGACAGATTGGAGTCTTGGCGACAGCTTTAAATGCAGCACAGATCATTAATGTACCACCACCAAAGTTGCAACTCATTGTTATGTCTTTTTCTGTCGTTAAATCATGCCAGTAATATTTAAAACCATCTGGATGTCTAAATTGAATTTCTTTTCATCCGAAAAAATAACAAATTCCCATTCTTTGAACCAGGACATGTTTTTGCAAAATCAAGACGAGCCTGTTTGTGTTCGGCTTTGAGTGCTGGTTTCTGCACTATTTTTGTTCAGTGGAATCGTTTGAAATTTTTTAAAAACTGTTGTACGCGTCTTGTACTTACTGGCAAATTTAATTCAACGCGAAGTTGTGCTGCACTTCTCAAGTCTCTTGATGCAGATGTCATTAATAATGAATATTGTCTCTTGGTCAGCTTTTGATTTCCCCCTTTGGAATGGGTTTTGCCACAATTTTTTCCTACATTTACGTAATTATTTACAACGGTACGTGATCGGTTAACTTTCTTTGCAATTATGCGATAAGAACATCCCATATTCATATAAGCATCAATGGATGCCTTTTCTTCAATGGTTAACAATTGTCCTTGTGGCATTTTACTAGTAAAAAATTAAAATATAAAATATTTCGATTTCAATAAATTTACAGATCAATTTTTACACAAATACTTACTTTTTTATTGGAGTTTTACTTCCTTTATTGTACCTAGCTGAACTTATTAACTCAGAATCTAAGCACAAACTAAGTGGCCTTATAGAAATTTCGCACTTATATTTCGCTTCGTACAGCAAAAAATGTAAACAAACCGAAAAGGTAAACATTTCCGAGCAGATACTCGCAGATTTATGATTAGTATCTATTAAATATAATTGTAGATGAGAAAAAAGTTACAAAAAGTAGTAAAGTTAATAATATTTTTAACAAATTCGTCAAAATATTGGTGGCTTTATGGAAATTTGAGGCACTGTACACTTATTTGTGGGACCTATGAATTACACCACCTTCAGTTCGTGGTACTCTTGTGTTTCAAAAGAGAAACTCCCCATTTTGTCCGAGCCGCCCCCGTTTACTTATGCGCTTATAATTCGAAAATGAGAAGGGATATCGAAAAAATGTTCAAATAAACGTAACACTGTTTTTAGAGACCTATATACCAGTATCAAAAAAAAAGTACAAAAATTTATTTTTCAAAAATTACCCTTACTCCGCCACAAAATTAAAACAAATTTTGATTTATTTCTAGAACAATAAAAGCGTTCCTTTCTTGTAAACCCAACGGTGTGTATTAGTTTGCAGTTATCCTAATGACAAATGATGTAATATTGTAAAATTGTCGCTTAGTAGTCGATATTGCAACGGAAAATGTAACGTTTGCGATGAAATTCGTTAGTTTCGATACTTTGGCGGATATTTACACACGGTATATGAATATACTATACATATCTACATACACACACACACACTCATACGTGCAAGCATACATGATTAAATTGATAATTCCGATTTTTTACTTTGAACACATTTTAAATTTCCCTATTTTCGTTATTAATAGGAGTATTTTAAACAAAATGTGTACATTTCGTTAAGATATGAAATTGTTGTTAAATATGTATTTTCGAAAAACGAATATTTTCCGAGAATTACATTCTTCAAACCATTTTTATTCTTTTTAACCGACTTCGAAAAGGAGGAGGTTACTCAATTCGACATGTATATATATACAGGGTGTCCCAAAAATGTTGGAGGTCCTTGAAAAGGGTGGTTCAGGGGGTGATTTGAAACAACTTTTTCCTTAGCGAATTTGTTGTCCGAGGCTTCGTTGAGGAGATATTAACGGAAAACACTGACCAATCAGAGCGCGCGTATACTGTTGGAGCGGCTGCGATGGCGATGGCTACGCGCTAAGTAGCCGCTTTCGTACGCGAACAAGTGACTCGACGTGCATCGAAGAATATTGACGCGGCCGCTCAGCGTGTAGCCCTGTTAAATTTCTTAATATTTATAATAATTGTTAATGCAAAATTCCTATTCTTTGATGTAACTCGGCAAGGAATTAACCGATCGCGATGAAATCTTCCACATATAATATTAGATGATTTACTGATGTTCCCAATTGGAGAAATTTTTGAATTTCGTAATGTTTATAACAATTGTTACTGCATAATTCGGATTCTTTGATGTAACTCGGCAAGGAATTAACCGATCGAGATGGGGCCTTCTGCATTTAATGACAGATGATTTCGTGATGTTCCCGTTTGCAACTATACAGGGTGTCCCAAACATGTTGGAGATTCTTGAATGTGATGGTTGGGGAGAGGGGTGATTTGAAACACCTTTTTCCTTAGCGAAAAGGTTTTCAAGCACCTCCAACATTTTTGGGACACCCTGTATATTGCGCATAACTATTGTTATTGGATGAAATGGTTATAGATTGTCACTAAAGAGGGTGAAATAACATAATTTTTAGACAGAAAATATAATCGACTTCGAAAAAGTATTGAAACTACACTAAAGGGTATGAAATAATTTCTAGTTAATTTATATGAATACTCACCAATTCTAGATATGATTGCTTAAAAGTATGAAATAATTTATATTTCCTTTATATTAAATGATATTCAATAATATATTAAATTTCTATTTCCTTTATATTAAATTATGTTAAATAATCTTTTCGTAGTCGGCACAAAATTAAAAATTACTTACATCCAAAATTACCAAACTTGGTTTAACTTTTGGTCGGTGGGACAAAACTTATGTCCTTCAAACTCTCTCAGACAGTACTTCCACGTAGACATTATACATGTATAGATTAACAACATTCAACATTGGCGCCTTCACCAAAAACTAACTCAAGCAGAAATTAAAAATTTTTAATTTTTGCCGACTACGAAAAGGTTATTTAACATAATTTAATATAAAGGAAATAGAAATTATTATTATATCTAGGATTGGTGAGTATTCATATAAATTAACTAGAAATTATTTCATACTTTTTAGTGGAGTTTTAATACTTTTTCGAAGTCGGTTATGTTTTTTCTTCCAAAGATTATTTTATACCTACTGCTAAGCAACCACTTAGCGTCTCGGCGCCAAGTACATGAAAAATTATCCGTCACCGCGTATATGTACCTGGCGTTGGAGCTACCACGTATCTTTTACAGGAGAGATGGTCCATTCCAACCTAACCTGAAACTTCTTTCATGATCATCTCAACACGCCTGCAATATTTTCTAAATTTAAAGGCATTTTTTCTTATGTAAACCACATATAAGCTTTCGAATAAAACCAAAATCAATCAAATCGGTCCATGTACAACTGAGATATCGTAATATCATGCATGAATCTGTCAGAAACGGTATCTTTCGTATGATTTTCCCGTCGTCAACCCTTAGCCAATAGGAGCTAAGCAAAAGCCGAGCGTCGTTTGTCGACTCTCGGAATCATTCGGTTCGGCATGACTCGTCAGCCATCGAGCGTCGAGAGTCGAAATAGATAACCTGCCAAGTGTCAAAAGTTTTTACACTATTGCATTATGAATTAAATTTATATCAGCAAAATGTTTACAATTTAGACTTTTTATGTAGGGTTTAATAACAAATTGCAGCCAGTGTTGTAAAGTGTTGATCGATCTTGATTACAAGCTAAGTTGTCAAAATCTGAATGGTGAGATACCTTTATTCATATAGAAAACTGTTTTCAATATAGATCCATACCACCAAAGTGTTTTGAATTTAAGCTTTTTATGTAGAGCTTGTGGAAATGAAGGGGGCCCACAGGATTGAAGATTAACAAATTGCTGCCAGTAAAGTAAAATGTAGATCACTTTTGATTACAAGGTAAGTTGTCAAAATCTGAATTGTCAGGTACCTTCATTCATACAGAATAAATCCATAACACTAAAGTGTTTTGAATTTAGACGTTTTACGTAGAGCTTATAGAAATGAAGTCATTTTCTCATTTCATCATTCACATTAAAATTTCTTGCAGCAATAAAAAAAATTGCAGGTATATTTAATTATTTATAAATTGAACGAATAAGAGTTTATAATAATTAAATTATGTGAAATATATATATGTATATATTCGCTTTGGTTATCCCCTCTCCTTTTATTTTACTCTATTCAATTAAAGAAACAAATAATAATTTAGACTTTTTATGTAGAGTTTACAGAAATATCAATTTTATTTTTATAATTTTAAAATAGATTCTATATAATAAATTATTTGTAAAAAGAAGTGAGATCCGATAAAAGACTTCAAAAAAGTAAAAGAGTTACGCCAAGTACATGAAAAAGTGAAGGACTCAAGGAGTTATCATTGAAAAATAGAAGATCCGCATAAAACACTACAAGAAAATAGAAAAATATGTGAAATCGAAATAAGCTGCCAGATGATTTGCCTAGATTTCCGCGGCCTGCAAGTCAAATGCTTGGCGTGGCCAGGCAAGGGCAAGGTGTCGATGAATAAGAATTATTTTAAAACGCAATACAATGAAAGTGTACTCATAATATTGTCAGTTTTAAATTGACAAATTATCTGAAAGTCTGTGAGAGAGAAAGTATACAACTAATGGTTGGAAAACGAAGCAAAAGAAACACGAAAAACGTTCGGAAATCTTTATTCAAAGAATCTTTTGTCACAAATTAACTCTCTACGATGGAGACAGCTTTCGCTACGAGTGTGCTCTCCTTTAGGGCTTCATACCCTAGTTGTAAGCGTGATAAATATAAGCGTCCTTCATGTACATGTTGGGAATGGTATAATTCCAAGCGCGCATGGGTCTGTCCAGAGGGAATCCGAATGGTTTGCCGTCGTATGAAACTTTACCAAACATCGGGAACTCGTAGGTCTGCGAGTTGGCCTCGTCGTATTCGCTGATGAAGAAGAAGAATTTGAATGGTATTCCTTCAGGTTTGCCTTTAGGGAGCTTGTGGAAGAAACTGAACGGCTTCTCGGAGTACACGAATGGCTCGCTGCCGCTGATGGCCTTGTTTAGCTTACTGAAGAACATGTCGCTACGAGCTGATTCCGATGCAACCACGAAGAAGTCTGAGCTGCTGCGCTGGATGTTGTTGCTGCCAGGGCGAACTGAACAGGGAAAGAGGATTCGTTAGAAGGTTAGTAGTTCTAGAGGTCAGCCATTTGAGATATTAGGGATTTTCGTGACTCGGTTCTTTAGGGTTGATTTTAACTGAGACTTTCAAGCGTAAGTAGAAAGATACTTAGGCCCAATGCACACGGGCGCAACCGATTTGAAATTAGTGTTGTAAACCGTTTGCGCTCTTTGTTTTACCTACTCCGCTATCTTTATTTTACCTAGATTCACGGTCGCATGCAACTAGTTTCAGAGTGGTTTGAAACTGGTCAGTTGCGCCCGTGTGCGATCGGCCCTACGCGTGAAACCAAAGGGACACGGTTACCACTAGAAAATCCCAATTAATATCAGTTCTAGAGGTCCATTTCAGCTAGGATTACTTCATTTGATTCCTAAAGAAGCTAGCTACAGTATTGGCCAAATTTAAAGTATCTTACCCAAAGCTTATAATTTGTGTCCTTGAAAAAAGATCTTACTCAAAGCTTACCATCGAAAGCCTCTTACTTTAAACCAGCCAACTTCAATTAATCACGCAAACTAAGTTTACTAACTACATATCTAAACTAATCACTTTTAGACAAGCAGAGCATTGTCTGAAAGCAGTTTCCCAAGAAGAAAACTTTAATTAAATAATCTAACTTACGTGTCACATAGAACTTGTCCATTTCGACGAAGTATTTGTAGTATTTGTACAAATACACGGAGTTCTGCTGTATGTCGCCGAAGGAGGGACCAAGGAACACCCTGATAACAGCATTCGTTTCCTTCTCGGAGTTAATGTTTAATCTAAAGGTGAAGGGCTTGTAGTTGAGACGGAAACGACGCGCCATCAAACGAAGCGATGATCCACGTTTGTAGTTCTCGACGGAGACGGCGTTGTTGATCAAGGTGTCTTGATAGTCGAAGTAGGTCGTCAGTTTATCCATACTGACTGACTCGATCTTCACAGAAGGCCACTGCAAGTCTGACTGGCTGTAGGGAGTCTGGAATTCCTTGAATCTGCAAATATTGTTCGGATTGTTCTATGTTGAACAAGATTCGTTTAAAGATGTTTTATGCTTTGATAAGGATCTTCATGGCTCGAGCAATGATCATTATAAGCGAGGCTTCTGAGTGTAACCTGTGTCTTTTGGGTAAGCTAGTGCAACGTTTCATTGCAGTAGCTTCTTTAGTGGTCAAATGACGAATTGACATTGGCATCAATCTATTATCAAGTTCAGGGCTGGCGTTAGGGGGGGAAGGCGTGGTCGGGCAACCGCCCGGGGCGCCAAATTTTTGGGGGCGTCGCAGTCCGGGGTCCCTAGTATACGAATATAAAGATATACAGGGTGTCCCAAACATGTTGTAACACCTTGAAAAAGGTGGTTCGGGAGGTGATTTGAATCGACTTTTTCCTTAGCGAAAATGTTGTCCGAGGCTTCGTTGAGGAGATATTAACGGAAAAC